GTTCAGAAATACAAATAAACAATATCAAAGTTCTGCATTAAGGTCAAGAATCCTTAAAGACAAGGATGAGTTGGAAAAGGTGAAAAATAATGTTGTATTAATGTGAATCATTTTATATTCGTTTGAAAGAATATCATAGAAAACATGTCTGCTGAAGAGGATTGCCCTTCAATTTCCCTTCTATTACTACAAAAAGAATTATGACAAAAACTAGCTATAAGTGTTTTCGACCAAATTCTCATGCCATGTACACATTTATGTGTACGGTGCATGTGACTGTCACCGAGACTAAGACAAATTCTTTTAATTTTGATGATTCCAAAACTTCATATAGGCCTAAATCAAACACTCTGATGTACCATAATGTCAATCTCTTCCAATCACCTGCCAACCGCTTCCAGATAGATTCTTTCACATTACAATCATATGACCAGGGCCCCATTTCACACAACTTGTCATCAGTTACAAATGACAGTTTTTGTTATAAGATAGTGAAACCCTTGCTTCTGATTGGTTATCAGTAGATTGGTCACTGATTTTTTTTTTTTCATCGAAAAAAAATCTTAGTGAAAGGGATCCCAGAAGTCAAAGCTATGGGACGAATGCGAAGAAGTACAGGATTGTATCAATGTAATTACGCATGCTGGTATCTTCCACTTTTTCATGCCCAAATATTATCATTACATAATATGATATTTTCGAACAGCTAATAACCATCACTAATTTTGCAAAATTGGATCATATTATTCTACTTTGTCTAATTTTTTTCTTTTATTAGAAAATCATTTACATACCAAACAAACATTCTGCTTCCCCAATCTCGATGTTGACAGGTGTTTTATTGTATAAGTTGGATAGATATCTATTTTCATGTTTATATCATGTTGTAATGTCTGCTATGTCATGATTGTATTTAAACTTTGTTTATTTCCCGTTGTATTTCTGATCTTTTATTTGCGGAGGGCCTCTCAGATAAGCAGTTTTAATAACGAGACAGCTACCCTGATTTAATAAAATGGATGGATAAATAAGTATTTGTATAAATAAATAATATAAATCTATCACATTTTGTTTCGCTTCGTTTCACTCTGGCTGGAATGCTCCCCAGGGAGTGAAGAATGTGCACACATTGTGTGCGGGTAAGCCTGAATCCGATGACCGGGGTAATAATATAGTAATAATATAATTAGGAACATCGTTGGATCGATGTATTGAGCGCTATTTAAAAAACGGAATATTATTATTATTATTATTATTATTATTATTATTATTATTATAATATTACCCTTTTTTTCTTTCCTTCTGTAGCCGCAACGGACTGCAATTTTGAGAGCGACGGATGTGAATGGGAGCAGTTCACCTCAGATGTATTTGATTGGGCCTGGCATAGTGGGTCTACGCCCACACTCCAGACTGGGCCTGATGCAGATCACACTTTGGGAACTGCAGGTAAGTTTGGTCAAAATGGCGAAAAAAAATAAGATTAGCAAGTATTGCACCTTACAAAGACTACAAAGTTAGGCCAAACTCGAACCCCGATTCGCTAATATTATTTTTTTTAAGTAGATATTTTTGGTCTGTTTTGATGTCATGGTGAATACCTCTTAGTATAGAAGACTCGAAACAACATATACACAGTACTTATTAAAATGCAATTCATATGAGCGTATCCTCCACCTCCAATGCATAACTCTCTTCTCAGTTTGGACAGTATCTTTTATTTATATGGGCGATCATAACACAAGCATTTCCTTTCCAGCTTTCCCCTCCTTCTGCTCCTGGATTTTATTTTACTGTACTGTCTTAATTGTGTATTTTCAGTGAGAAATGAATGCATCTAAATTTCAGTCGATCAGGTCAGTAAGTCAAATCAAAGCTTGTCAAAATGTTTATTATTCTTAGAGCGCCATATTCCAAATTGATTAATTCACTCATAAGAGACACCAAAACATTTGCTTTGTGAAATGTGTCATGTGTAATGAAGACTTAAGTCTTAGGTCACACACCATAGGCCACTATACCAATGTTCAAAGCAAACGCAAAGCAATTACATTCAGGCTCGAAAGACTTCATTTTACCGACACCTTTTGTTCATATACAGCGGGCCACTACATGTATACCGAGTCATCATGGCCGCGATTTCCCGGTGATTACGCCATCATGCGATCACCTGACATCGTCGACCTCGCCAGCACGGACATCAACGTCTGTTTCACTTTCTGGTATCACATGTTTGGGCTTAACATCGGAACTCTCAGCTTGTATTTCACGACGTCGGCGACGAGCATGGACCAGAACGATCTCGTGTGGGCGGAGAGCGGCGAGCAGGGGAACCTTTGGATCGAAGCAAAGATACCAGTGACGGATTTCATCTCGACGTCCAAGTCCGGGTATTTCGCCTTCGAAGGCAGGATTTCCAGTTATACCGCTGACATGGCTTTAGATGACATCACATTAGGACCGTGTTCTGGTAAGAATTCACTTTTAATTTATTTTTATCGTCTTCATTTAAAAAATAATATTCATAATAATGAAAACCATTCTTGCACTCAACCAAAAAATGAACTATATTACGTTGTGTAGCTATTAAAAAAATACCTATGGAACCTATGGGCGTTAGCTTAACTGGTTTTGTTGGCCCACAGACCAGGCTTCTCCCATTTGCATTAACAAAGGAATCACTGGTTCCTGAAGGAAACGGGTTTAAGGTATTTAGTAAAAAATAAATATACAATATGAAGGCATCACATTTGGTTTAACTTCGTTTTATTCCTCATCTTAATTTGTTTCATTCCGTTTGTAGCCTCACTGGAATGCGATTTTGAGGTTGATGAGTGTGGATGGGAGCAGGTCACTTCAGATGATTTTGATTGGACCCGGTATAGTGGCCCTACACCTACAATGCCGACTGGGCCTGATGTGGATCACACTTTGGGAACTACATGTAAGTTTGTGAATTCGCTGATATTTATTTTGTTAGCCGGTTAAGAATATAAAACATCTTTAGTCTGCTTTGGTGTCATCGTAATCATTCTCTTAGTTTAGAAGGCTCAAAACAACCTATGCAATAGTCCTAATTAACATGCAATTCATACGAACTTGTCCTCCAATGCCTAAGTCTGTTCTAAGTTTTTTAGAGTAGCTTTTTTTTTATATATATTGGGTGTTCCCAACACAAACATTTACTTTCCGGGTTTTCTCCTCCTTCTGCTGTAGAATTCATTTATTGTTCTGTTCTAATTATGTATTGCCAATGAAAAGGAAATAAATGTGAATTTCAATCAATCAGTTTATAAGGTATATCAAAGCTTGTCAAAATGTATCATATTATTCTCAAAACGCCTTATCCCAAAATGATTAATTCACATATGAGAGACACCATAGCTTTTATTTTTCATTTTATCTCGGTACTTTCACAGCTAAAACAAAGACACGTGTCATGAAGACTAAAGTCTTATGTCACAAAACATTGGCTTTTACCAAAGTTTAAAGCAAAGACAAAGCAATTACTTTCAAGTTCAAAAGACTTCATTTCATCGCCACCTTTTGTCGTAATACAGCGGGCCACTACATGTATACCGAGGCATCATGGCCACAAAGTCCCGGTGATTACGCCATCATGCGATCACCCGACATCGTCGACCTCGCTAGCACGGACATCAACGTCTGTTTCACTTTCTGGTATCACATGTATGGGCTTAACATCGGAACTCTCAGCTTGTATTTCACGACGTCGGCGACGAGCATGGACCAGAACGATCTCGTGTGGGCGGAGAGCGGCGAGCAGGGGAACCGTTGGATCGAAGCAGAGATACGGGTGACGGATTTCATCTCGACGTCCAAGTCCGGGTATTTCGCCTTCGAAGGCAGGATATCCAGTTATACCGCTGACATGGCTATTGATGACATCACATTAGGACCGTGTTCTGGTAAGAATAAACTTTTAATTCCCGTTCATGATTTAGAAAGAAAATTGTTTAATTTCCCAATTTCACGAAGGGCATTAGCATATATCTGAATTTTAAGGAGATTTTTCGTTGTCTGTTTATACTAACGCAAACGATTTTTTTTGTGTGTGGCTAACTTGTGTTGGTTAAATTAAGGCAAATTTGAAGATTAATTTCATCATCACCCGGTTTTCACAGAGACACTCCATATTCAAGCGAATAAGTTCATCTGCCATAAAAACGTCCATAAAAGCCGTTCATCTTGGTCATGTTTTGTTGCAGCCCGGCTTACAACAACACAACCTACTACCACCACACAACAAACGACTACCGATGCAACAACCACAAGAGCAACAACGACCAAAACAACAACCACAGCTACGAGTGCACCGCCTCCTACAACTACCGATGCAACGACCACGAGAGCGACAACGACTCAAGCAACAACGATCAAAGCAACAACCACAGCCACAACTACACAGCCTCCTACAACTACCGATGTAACGACCTCGAGAGCGACAACAACTCAAGCAACAACGACCAAAGCAACAACTACAGCCACAACTACACAGCCTCCTACAACTACCGATGCAACGACCTCGAGAGCGACAACAACTCAAGCAACAACGACCAAAGCAACAACTACAGCCACAACTACACAGCCTCCTACAACTACCGATGCAACGACCACGAGAGCGACAACAACTCAAGCAACAACGACCAAAGCAACAACTACAGCCACAACTACACAGCCTCCTACAACTACCGATGCAACGACCTCGAGAGCGACAACAACTCAAGCAACAACGACCAAAGCAACAACCACAGCCACAACTACACAGCCTCCTACAACTACCGATGTAACAACCACGAGATCGACAACAACTCAAGCAACAACGACCAAAGCAACGACCACGGCCACAACAACGCAAGCAACGACAACTATGCCAACTGACTTAACAACAACTGGTAAATACAATGGTGAATAATAATATTGTTGTTACAAACGGCAATCACGGAGACTTAAATAAATATGTTAAGCATTAAAGAAATATGGATAATTGTATGCAATTTTAACGTGCATCCGTTATTTCAAACCTTTAGTAAAAACAATTACAAAACTAAACGATATTTAAAAAATTGTTAACACACATCGAATTCCTTTGAACCGCTTTCCATTACATTTTGTAGGAAAATGCCTCAATTCGTAAGCAAATTTTGTAAAATAAAAAATGAAGTCTCCTTAATTGTTAGTTGATTTCGTACCTATCGTGCCTATTGTTAGAATACCTTATTCAGACAACTATCTTTTGAATTACCATTTCAAAAAAATGCATAGTTCCGTTGAAAGGACGAAAAGGATACATCTAATGATCACGCTTCATGCTGATTAATTCATATCAGGCGCGATTTTTTTTTCTATCAATATGTCTAGCTCAAAAAAAGAATGCTTGAAAAGCAAAAAGAAAAACCATCCAACAAGGAATTACTTACTGATTGCATTTTCTGTTTTTATCTCCAGCAACTACAAGCACGCAAAGCAACCCTGATACAACAGCCGTTCCAGTATCTACAACTCCTCTTGCAACTACTACTCACACAACTACCGATTCCACAACAATTCCAGAAACTTCAACTCCTGAAACAACTAACGAAATCTTAACAACCCCTCAAATAACTACGCCTGCCAAAACAACTACCCCTGATGAAACAACTCCTGAGACAACTCCTGAAACAACTTCCGATATCTTGACAACCCCAAAAATAACTACCCCTGCTAAAACAACTACCCCTGATGAAACAACTCCTGAGACAACTCCTGAAACAACTTCCGATATCTTGACAACCCCAAAAATAACTACCCCTGCTAAAACAACTACCTTTGATGAAACAACTCCTGAAACAACTACCGATATCACATCAATCCCCAAAATAACTACGCCTGCTAAAACAACTACCTTTGATGAAACAACTCCTGAGACAACTCCTGAAACAACTTCCGATATCTTGACAACTCCCAAAATAACTACGCCTGCTAAAACAACTACCTTTGATGAAACAACTCCTGAGACAACTCCTGAAACAACTTCCGATATCTTGACAACTCCCAAAATAACTACGCCTGCTAAAACAACTACCTTTGATGAAAAAACTCCTGAGACAACTCCTGAAACAACTTCCGATATCTTGACAACTCCCAAAATAACTACGCCTGCTAAAACAACTACCTTTGATGAAACAACTCCTGAGACAACTCCTGAAACAACTTCCGATATCTTGACAACTCCCAAAATAACTACGCCTGCTAAAACAACTACCCCTGATGAAACAACTCCTGAGACAACTCCTGAAACAACTTCCGATATCACAACAATCCAAGAAACTACAACTCCTGTTGAAACAACTCCTGAAACAATCACCGATATTAAAACGACACCCAAAGTTACGACGCCTTCTAAAACAACTACCCCTTTTGGAACAACACCTGAAAAAACTACCGATTCCACAACGATCCCAGAAACTACAACCAAAGCTACTACAGCTGTCACTGGTATGTTGTTGTATAATCATTCAATCCGTTTAAACATGAATAATATCGAAGTACATGCTTATAAAATAAAATATGGTTGATGGCATAGCCTAGAGAAACAGTTGTGATCAAATGTGTAGGCGTATGGAAATAAAAATAGTTCCTTTCTCATACATGTACAATTTCTGAAGAAAAGAACTATTTTAATGCCTCAGGGTACCGTTAGAAGAAGCTTGGCAAAGGATTGGTTTTGCGATTGATTGCGTATATTGAGCAATGCAACCAATTGCAAAATTAATCGTTCGATCAAATGCTAAGATTTGTATAACGGGGCCTAGGATGTGACATTATGAACAAGCGCGACTTCCGGTGACGTATCAATTACTACTCTACCCGCTATGGTTGAAACAATACATTTAATATGATACCACATATTGACGTCAATATAATTTTCAAAAGATTTTAGTGATAAATCACGTTTATTGAATTCATAAAATGACACAGCTCCTTATTTGATTTCGGATGGAAACATGTTTCTCCCAAATCTGTCGTTCTGTCGATTGTTAATGTGATACAATTATGATACCATTCGAATGTTCTGATGGAAAGAACTTAACATTTTGGAAGTTCCTAGGTTAAATCAGAGAAATTTTGAAAATTAATGCAAAGTCGATCAAAGAGTCATTTTTCCTCTCAAGAAATGGATTTCTTCATGTTTATGGTGTAAAAGAAAACAAAAATTCTTTCACGAAAGATCCGTTATAAGCAATGAGTGATAAAAATCATTGTCTCTCGATCTTTTTACAGATGACTGTTCTCAATCAAACGTCGGGAAACGCTTTGTGTTTGCCTTTCCAAGAAACCAAGAGCTGGGTTCAGAAAGCAATTTTCTTGTGATCTCGACTTCCTCCCCACAGGTTGTAAATGTAGTCGTAAATGAGTTCAACGGTAATACATTCTCGGGTGAGGTTACAGCTAGTATGAGTCGCTCATTCAGCCTGTCAGAGAATTCCCGATGCACAGGGTCTGGTTTGCAGAACTGCGCTGTAAGGGTCTCAGCAGATGGCGACATCTCGGTGATTGGGTATAGCGAATCTGGTCCGTCCGTGGGTAACTTCCTCGCTTATCCTGTGGGTAGTCTCGGTGACGACTATGTCGTAGCAAGCTATAGGCCTACAGATGGTTACTACTCAGAGTTTACGGTAACTGCAGCTGATACTGTTGCCCAGGTAACTGTAGAGTTTCCAGAGTTGATCAGAAACGATCGATTAGGGAATGGCCTTACCGCAGATCTTCAGTTCCAACTCGATGCTGGCCAGACCTATCAGGTTCGGAGCGATCTGGATTTGAGTGCTTCCCGAGTGACGTCAACAGCACCCGTGTCAGTAATCTCAGGAGTAAGCTGCGCCGAAGTACCATGGGGATTAAAGTATTGTGACTATCTGGTTGAACAAATGCCTCCTGTCAACACCCTAGGAAATTCTTTTACTGTGTCAACTTATCATGCGCGACCAGAAAGCGGATTCGACGTCAGAATAATAGCCACTCATGATAACACTCATATCACATCGGATGTAGGTAACACCATCATTCATGCATTTGAATATTTTGACACCACTGCAGAGACGTTCGTGGCATTTGACTTTGATACTTCAGAGCCTGTTCTCGTCGTCCAATACCAAAGAGGAATCTATGCTGACTACCTCGGAGAACCATCAATGTCAATAATTTCCCCTAAAAATCAGTACTCGGTAGGTGCAGTCACTTTCCCTGTTGTCGATTCATTCGCCTCTTCGAATTACGTCGACATAATCGTGGCGATCGAAGACGAAGGCGGAATCCAGTTGGACGGGGTTCCGTTAGACTCTTTTACCGATTCTCGTAACACCACTAAAACTTCTACGGTTTGGGGTAAAACACTAACGGGAGGGCTTCATACAGTGAGTCATGCAGATCCAGACGTACCATTCAGCGTCGTCACTTATGGTTATGATTACTACATCGGGTACGGAACCACAGCGGGTACCTTATTGACGCCATCTTACTGCAGACAGACAACAACAACACAAGGTTATCATATTTCGTTTATAATGATGTCATTAGTTTAGTCTGGTAACGACTGTATTAAGTCTTGAATCGAAATGAAGTGTTTGATTATCACTGCCGTTGGCCCGATTAAACTAAATCTGCTCAAGAGGTTGGGGTTAATTTATTAATTTTTTCTAGCTCCTCTCTAACAAATTGTAATCTCCATTTTAAAACCTCTTGAGGTCGACTGATAATAAAAGATAGGACTAGAGATGAATGTTATTTAATCTATTTTGTATTCATTACAACTGAAAACTCTGCATTCTTTCCTTTATTCAAGTTATCCATGCCTGTATTACATGTCATAGATTTTTCTCGCAGTTAGTTGCTTTATTTTGAGGGAATGGTGAGCGAGAATGTGCGAAAGCATCTGTATCATTTATAAATTCCCCGTGTTTTACATTATCGCTTCATTTTTTTTTTTTTTTTTAATATTCTAGTGACAACTGACACAACAACTACGGATGCAACTACGACTGATACTGGTAAGATGTTATCAATATTGGTCTAGCGTCTTGTAGTCATAAACTATGTCATTGATGCATTAGATGTATGTATCGGTTGATTTTATTTCATTTATATACATGTATATATTCATTACCCCGTATTTTATGTCCCGTCTCCATTTTTCTTTTATTCTAGTGACAACTGACGCAATTACCACGGTTGACTCTACGACGGCTGGTAAGATCAAATGAATTTTGATACAGCATCTTGAAGTCATAATCCAATTCATTTATTGCAAATAAGTTGGGTATCCATTACCTTCCAAAACTAATTTCCTAGATATGAACAAAACGATTTATATATCAGCTTTCAGCGGCGTTGGTTTCAGTCGGTGTATGAAAATATTGAGAGAATGAGGAAGAAGCGTGGTATGGTGGGTCATTCAATGGACTCTTAATACAAGGGTTGACGGTTCGAATCCCAGCTCGGCATGAACGACCTTAATTTGGCTAGACAGTAATCAACCTTTGTCACCTTACACCCAGATGGGTAATACATTTCTGTTACAGTTAGTTGCTTTATTTATAAAGGCATATGGAGCTATTTTGAGGGAATGGTGAGTGAGAATGTGCGAAAGCATCTGTATCATTTATAAATTCCCCGTCTTTTACATTATCGCTTCATTTTGTTATTTTTTGTTATATTGTAGTGACAACTGACGCAACAACTACGGATGCAACTACGACTGGTACTGGTAAGATGTTATCAATTTTGATCAAGCTCCTTGTAGTCATAAACTATGTCATTTGATGCAATAAATGTACGTATCGGCTGCTTTCATTTCATTTATCTAGGTTTACGGAAATATTTTGAATGAATGGCTAGTGAGAAATTGCGACATTATCTGTGTAGGTGTAATGTATTCATTACCCCGTATTTTATGTCCCGTCTCCATTTTTCTTTTATTCTAGTGACAACTGACGCAACTACCACGGTTGCCTCTACGACGGCTGGTAAGATCAAATGAAGTTTGAAACAGCATCTTGTCTTGTAGTAATAAACTACTTTATTTATTGCAAATAAGTTGGATATCCATTACCTTCCAAAACTAATTTCCTAGACATGAACAAAATGATTTATATATCAGCTTTCAGCGGCGTTGGTTTCAGTCGGTGTATGAAAATATTGAGAGAATGAGGAAGAAGCGTGGTATGGTGGGTCACTCACTTGACTCTTAATCCAAGGGTTGATGGTTCGAAGCCCAGCTCGGCATGAACGACCTTAATTTGGCTAGACAGTAATCAACCTTTGTCACCTTACACCCAGATGGGTAATACATTTCTGTAACAGTTAGTTGCTTTATTTATAAAGGCATATGGAACTATTTTGAGGGAATGGTGAGTGAGAATGTGCGAAAGCATCTGTATCATTTATAAATTCCCCGTCTTTTACATTATCGCTTCATTTTGTTATTTTTTGTTATATTGTAGTGACAACTGACGCAACAACTACGGATGCAACTACGACTGGTACTGGTAAGATGTTATCAATTTTGATCAAACTCCTTGTAGTCATAAACTATGTCATTTGATGCAATAAATGTATGTATCGGTTGCTTTCATTTCATTTATCTAGGTATACGGAAATATTTTGAATGAATGGCTAGTGAGAAATTGCGAAATTATCTGTGTAGGTGTATTGTATTCATTGCCCGTATAGTTATCCCATCCCGTATCTTATGTCCCGTCTTCATTTCTCTTTTATTCTAGTGACAACTGACGCAACTACCACGGTTGCCTCTACGACGGCTGGTAAGATCAAATGAATTTTGATACAGCATCTTGTAGTCATAAACTACTTCATTTATTGCAAATAAGTTGGGGATCCATTACCTTCCAAAACTAATTTCCTAGACATGAACAAAATAATTTTTATATCAGCTTTCAGCGGCGTTGGTTTCAGTCGGTGTACGAAAATATTGAGAGAATGAGGAATTCACTTGACTCTTAATCCAAGGGTTGACGGTTCGAAGCCCAGCCCGGCATGAACGACCTTAATTTGGCTAGACAGTAATCAACCTTTGTCACCTTACACCCAGATGGGTAATACATTTCTGTAACAGTTGGTTGCTTTATTTATAAAGGCATATTGAACTATTTTGAGAGAATGGTGAGTGAGAATGTTCGAAAGCATCTGTATCATTTATAAATTCCCCGTCTTTTACATTATCGCTTCATGTTGTTATTTTTTTTATATTGTAGTGACAACTGACGCAACAACTACGGATGCAACTACGACTGGTACTGGTAAGATGTTATCAATTTTGATCAAGCTCCTTGTAGTCATAAACTATGTCATTTGATGCAATAAATGTATGTATCGGTTGCTTTCATTTCATTTATCTAGGTATACGGAAATATTTTGAATGAATGGCTAGTGAGAAATTGCGAAATTATCTGTGTAGGTGTATTGTATTCATTGCCCGTATAGTTATCCCATCCCGTATTTTATGTCCGTTCTTCATTTCTCTTTTATTCTAGTGACAACTGACGCAACTACCACGGTTGCCTCTACGACGGCTGGTAAGATCAAATGAATTTTGATACAGCATCTTGTCATAACCTATTTCATTTATTGCAAATAAGTTAGGTACCGATTACCTTCCAAAATTAATTTTCTAGACATGAACAAAATGATTTATATATCAGCTTTCAGCAGCGTTGGTTTCAGTCGGTGTATGAAAATATTGAGAGAATGAGGAATTCACTTGACTCTTAATCCAAGGGTTGACGGTTCGAAGCCCAGCCCGGCATGAACGACCTTAATTTGGCTAGACAGTAATCAACCTTTGTCACCTTACACCCAGATGGTGTCACGTGAGCGACTGTTTTTTAATTATTTACACTGCTACCTCATCAGAAAACCACACCAGAACACAATTGTATAAGTTTAAATAAAAGTTTAATATTCAGCCTACAAATCGTGGCGTCAAAAAATCATCAACAGCACATAAACAATTTAATGGAACATAACTTTATAACAGGGCAGCTTCCATCTCGTGAGTCCCTCCTGGTCCTTGTCGCTTGGCCAGTCTCTAGACTGCGTAGAATCCCCGTCGACTTGACAGCTTATCTCGATCTCTGTCGATGACTTCCCTGGTCGCTTGGCCAGTCTCTAGACTGCGTAGAATCCCCGACGTAAAAAGTCTTTCTCCAGAATAATGTTTCTCCCACTAATATAAATAAAAACTACCTCGTGCATTAAACGTCTGCACCGTAGCACTGACTTGAAGGGTTCTCCCCATTCCCGGCCCCCCCCCCCACTCAGGTTTCAAAATGACCGCATGCGTGTTGCCAAAATGTCCTTTTCGTAACAAAAGAAAAAGGTCGAGCCGTATTGACTTTACACACCGGACTTTTGCTGAAAAGGGGGGGATGCTGAAAAAGGCTCGTATACAAAAGAAAAAGGTCGAGCCGTATTGACTTTACACACCGGACTTTTGCTGAAAAGGGGGGGGGGGGGTCGGTTGGAACACGCATATGCGTACCCTAAATAACACTGAGTGGGGGGGCCGGGTCCCCATTATTCTACAGCAACTTCCCTTTCCCCTTTCTTTGCCAGGTCCTTAACATTCAAAACCTCCTGGGTATGCAAGCTATTTCTATTTCTATCTACAATCAATAGCCAACCCCAAATCATGCATAACAAAACCCCATATACTATACATGTTAAATGCAAATGTATGCAATAATGCATCCTACGCTTGGCTACCTCTAACTGACCCTTGAGTAGTACATTTCCTTTGAGTAGTACATTTCCCTCCTCGCCTGGAAAAAAATCCTTTCATGACAGATGGGTAAATGGGTATATGGAATTGCTGAGGTAATAATATTTGCAGGGTTCTCAGGAAGAACAGCATACAAGCTGATGAGGATTCCCTGATTAACAAAATAAATAATATTTTAGTCATTATTATCATTATTTTTAATGGCGAGCAATTAGGCGTTGCATGTCTTTCCCTCGTCCCTGCATTCCCCCTCCCCATCTCTATCATAACATCTTTGATTTACCTTTTCTCATTGGACGGGCCACATGTCTTCGGCAAAGACCACTATCGGTTATAAAGATATAACGCCAAAAAGTTTGATGTACACGAATTTATATCGTTATTTAGAATGCTATCAGTAACGCAAGGGATTCATTTTGACTATCTGGTTTAAATAACATAACATCTATTCATTTTAAACCTCTACTGCTCAGTATTCTAACGAATAACTTCTAAATTTAATCCAACGAAAATGTGATTTCATTTTCAGTTAGACCCATAACGAAAAGGACTTCAGATAATTTTACCACTGGTTTATTTACATGAATACAAAATAATGTCTGAGTAAAGTTTAAAGTGTATGCACCAAAAGTAAGACGGGGGATGCCCCACTTGAATGTAAACAAAGAGAAGTAACCATCTTCTAAATGGGGCTTTTGGACGTGTTTTAACACTATCACAAAAAATTTAGAATTGTTTGAAAGGAGGAATTTCCGAAAAAGGTTCATTCAATGTATTTCTTACAGATTTTGAAGCACCATTATCTGAGGCGATGAAGTTCTGATTGATGAAATTCTCATTATTCATAATTGTGTGTTGTGTAATTGCTTCTTTTGAAATATTAGATCCACCTGCGGATGGCAGCTCAAGTGGCACGAACTTCGCATTCGCTTTTCCCACGAACCAGGATCACACGGATAACACAGAAACCTACCTTATTTTCACCACAACGTCTTCTGGAGCCGTGGCAGTCGTCGTGACTGGGTATACGTTCTCTTCTTCATTCTCAATGGATGCTTCCGCGGAATACATACTGAGAATTGAACCGATACCACTCTCGGTCGGTTCTGGACTTCAAAATAGCACGGTTGTCATTGAAGCAAGTGATGAAGTCTCTATACAGGGTAGATCGGTCGATGGGATAAGTCTTGAGGTATTCACTCCCATTTCAAATACAGGTCTTGGAACTGAATATGTCATTGCTAGCTATCCTCCTTTGGCAACAGCTGACTATCATTCCCAATTTACCTTGACGACCGGTGAGGCAGGTTCTACCCACGTCACCATTCGTTTCTCTCAAGATTACGAGTACACAGGAGAAGTGTACAACCGAATCAATCCCCTAGAGCTCGATCTGGGAACACATGAAACCGTGCAGTTCCAAAGTTTGATAGATTTAACAGGGTCCAGCGTCTCCTCGACCCGACCCGTATCGGTGGTGTCTGGTGATAGCTGCGCACAGGTTCCGGTAGATGTAGAGTTCTGCAATTACCTGGTGGAACAACTACCGCCTGTTACTCGCTGGGGGAAGAATGTCGTTTTCACAGGTTTCTACGGTCGGACCAGTGGGACCATTATCCGCATCATGGTAAGTCTCAGTGGTGCCAACGTGAATGTCCAGTCTAGATTCATCACGGCTCAGACATTCTCGTCCTCCACCGCTAGCTATTTTGACTTGGACATTGGACTCAACACTGATCCAATCAGCATTACGGCCGACAACCCGATCCTGGTCTTGATGTATCACAAGAGCGTCTACACAGACTATATCGGCGATCCCTCCATGACTATCGTACCAGCTGTCGAACAATGGACGTCTGGAAAGGTAACTTTCTTTGTGGTTGATCAACAGAGTAACCAAGCTGATGACCACATTAGTATTGCCATAGAAACCGTGAACGAGGCAGGTGTCTTGCTCGACGACCAGTCCGTTTCGACTGCAACAGACGTCGAAACTCTAAGACATGGTATCTACACCATCTATAGATTGAGTATCTCCACCGGCTACCATACCGTCGAACACCAAGATGCAACCGTCAGATTCAGCGTGCTCGTTTACGGAACCAACATCTACAACAGCTATGCATATCCCGCCAGAATGGACCTCCCTCTGACTTCATAAGCAGCGCCTTAACTCAAAGAAAATCCTGCACTAAATATATCGATGGGTTTGAAAGTTACATGTAGTTGGAGAAAGTTAAAGCTATACTGTCATCTAGATATACCTCTTCACTTAAGCCCGCTGCACATAAGGCGGTACCACAGTACGACCCAATAAGGCACATGCCAAGTTCATTGTTCAATAGACCTGTTCACTAACATATTAACATTTATGAATGTTTCTTTCCTGAGGACCAAGTGACGAGGTATTCAACTATCCTGTTATTAATGAATGAACTACAATACCTGGAATCCAGTTTGCATACAGTAAGTGTTGGTATGTCGGCCAAGCCTCGGCCAAGTTTTGGGTTGTCAAAAACAACCTCTGTTTACAAAGTATGCATACAATTTGATATGTTAGTATACCTGTCTATTCAATAGAGCCAATGCCGCAATAAACAGTCAATAGACCCTCTCTAGATTACATTTTGCTTGCGTTAGGTTGTATGGCAAGCACATATTATTTGTCTCGTTAATGTATACATTTTGTTTGGTAAGGATTGCTGTCTGAGAGTAAGAATATGTTTATGGATAGGGAATGCTCATTTTTCCCTCGGACAGTAACTGCGTGGAATGAACTTTCGAAGATCACCCTTGACGCTACTTCACTGGAGGGCTTCAAGGGAGCGCTTCCACCCAGCATCTAGACCAAGAACTAGATAGTTTATTCCTCAGCACTACATCCTGACTTATGGATCCTGCTGAGTATCGTCGTAGAAGTAGAAGTAGATACAGGGTAAAGGTCTTCCCAGAACGTAGGGGTGTGGGGAGCGGATACGTCCGATACAATACATCACCTAAATATCTATATTCAGAGCTAGAAAATTGAAACTATGATCTAGCAGAAAGAAAAAGCGACAGAAGAATGATACAAAGGAGATAACGTAAAATTTTAAAGTTGTGGAAGAAAGATACCATTACAATGCTTTACAGTACCATAGAAATTTTCCCTCGGACAGTATCTGCGTGGAATGCACTTTCGAAGATCACCCTTTACGCTACTTCACTGGAGGGCTTCAAGGGATCGCTTGCACCCAGCATCTAGACCAAGAACTAGATAGTTCATTCCTCAGCACTACATCCTGGCTTATGGATCCTGCTGAGTATCGTCGTAGAAGTAGAAGAAGTGGAAGATGTTAGGGGAGTATGATCGAGCATTCTTGACAGTGTAGAAATTTATTTAAATGTGTTTAGTGTGTAAGAATTAAGCTTTGATATACGGATTAAAAGGGGTGAATAGATTAGGATAAAGTTGAAAAAATGATAGAAAAGACAATTGAATGGCGGTTGCACACGACTTGTGACATCAATCTGTAGCCTACGCATTCGTTTTTAAATAGAAATAATTGCCGAGGAAGTCAACTATGAAAAGCAGATTCAATAAATTCCAATCCAAATTACTTTATAACCTAGTTTATACATATAGGCATTTTTTTGTGTTTCAGACTTCTATAAATGATTTATGTTCCTTTTGTAAGAAAGTGGAAGAAACATATGAACATTTTTTTTAATGTGAAGAACTTTGGGAAGTTGTACATGACTGTATCATGCGCCAAGCTTCAGTTGGAAAGACTTTCCAAATCAATAGCAAAACCTTTACTTTTCAATGAGGAAAATCATAGCTGAGAAGATACATGTAGAAATTATATTTGGTGAAAATATATAACAGGGGAACTATTGTATTAAACTGATTCATGTAAAAATACTAAAATATAGCAGTTGACAAATCTATATTCATTTATGAGAAACCTCCACCCCAGAAGAGCAACAACTTATTCATGCAATTTGCGTTCTGGCAATTTTAGTAGGAAGGATAATAGCAGGCGAATGAAATGCTTTATCACCACACGCGTGGGAAGGAAACATCCATAAATTTGAATACATTAATAAACAACTTCACATAGTACGTCACGTTATCAAGAAAATGGCGATGCCAATGCCGTGCTGAGAATCTGTACATTATTCTTGCATTATGCCTCTCTCATAAATTTTGGAGTGGAATCATGTCGATTAATGGAAAAGAATATAATATATCTCTCAGAAAAATTTAAGTTATTTATTGGGGTGAGGTTTCCTGGGAGTAGGGTGGGCTGGTGTAGATTTTCCGGTAGGGGAGAATGAATTAATTTCATTCCTTAGGATTTAGGGCTTTAACTTTCTTTCTCTTCTATTCCCTTTTTTTCTTTTTTCTTTTTAAATTAAACATTTTGTTTCCTCTCAGAACAAACGTATTCTTCACATTACTATATTTTTATCTCTAAAATCAATCGATCATAATGTTTTCACGTGATTGTATTAATAAAGTGTTTTCAAATTTTGTTTGCATTGTACATGTAATAGTTAAAGTGTATTTTTATTTGTGGACACAAATTATTATGTTAGAAAAATAACTTTGTATCATGGACATGGTTACGCCAGATGGTGATGATTCATTATGATTAATAATTATTAAAATCAAATAATTAAAATCAAAATGATTAATACTGATTATTAATGTTGAATAAAGATGATGGTGGTGGTGCTGGTGGCGATGAAAGCGACATTTTTTGATAATGCTAATATTAATGATGATGAAGATTAATGATCATTAATAATGATGATTAATGATGATGATGATAGTGGCGGCGGTGGTGATGATGATTTACGTGATGATCTTGGTTCTTGGTTGGTTGGTCCTCCAAAATACTCGTCTCAGTTTTAACTGGAGGTGCGGGTAGGGTGTATTAAATTGTAGACGGGGGGACGTCAGGGCAATTTTGAATTTGACAGGGTTAGTGTGGGCGATAGTCTCCGGTTTAAGCTGGTTCCAATCACGCACTGTTCTCATGAAGAAGGAGTTCGCGAATGTGTCCGTTCTTGAGTGGGTCTGTTGGAATTGCCTGTTATGCCCTCTTCTATCTCTGATAATAATGATGAGGATGAACTTGCGATTGATCTGGATCAAAATCGCAATCGACGGGGCCCTGAGCTTATTTTCTGCAGCTAGCCCTTGATTTGAGCATGCGCTGCGCGGGCAATTTCCATTAAAGGGCAAGGCGCGTTCTCCAAAATATTGCGCGCCTTTTACTTAAACCGCGCAATGCATACTTCATGTGCAAATATTTCTGTAATGTAAATCCTTTTATTTCCATTCCCTAAAAAAGGTTACCGGTGTAAGAATTTATTGGTTGCATTTGATTTGCCTCTTATATATGATACATCCTTCAGATCTAACTTTATTGTAAATCTAGAGATCTTCTTGGTCTAGCAGAATTACGTGATCATCATGGGATGTCTTGCAGTGATATGCCGCCGTTGTGCCCCTGGTGAGTAGCCAATAGATCTAGGTTTTTATACATTTCATTGACCGGGTTATTGACAGGGTTGTTTTCAATTTTGAGATTGATAAAGTTTTGCATCACATTCTTGTCACTGATCACTGAAATACAGTCATACAGCATCATTAAAATAATCGACATGAGATTCAAGTGTGACTGAGTGATCTTACACTGAGTCTATATCTTAACCATAATTCCGGTAGGCCTAGCTTAAAATCTAAAACAAATGGCGGCAGAGGAGGAGTAGACAGTGACAAAATGGATGCGAGCCTCCTTTGTCATCCTTCCGAGCTCTATAACAAGTTCCCTAAATTCGGCCAAAATTATCATTTATTGTCATACGTCGTGTGTCCATACATGTTTGTTATCCGAACAGTTGATTTCAAACACTAGATCTAGCCTATAAGCCTAGCCTAATTTGAAGAACTTTAAAAACAATAAATTATTTCGTAACTATTTTAAAACTTATGTTTGATAACATCATAAAGGACAATATTTATGTTTGTGCTATTTGATGCGTCATTTTCGTTAATTCCGAAGGTAAAGGTTAAAACTTTATTTTTGTCAAGCGTCCGGACAACCCCCCTCCCATACAGGGGTAGTGTATATGAGGGCGGGGTGGGTGGAGGAACAAAGTCTACTGTTTGATAAAACAATTTAGGTTTAATAGATATTAATACCGAAGTTAAACGGAATAACAAGTGGATGCTATAATTTTCATTCTCTTCTGATAGATTTTGTAGATTATAATAGATCTTGGTGTAGATAATTTCCCGACAGGTTGGCTACCATAGTATCAGGATAGTTGATTTCAAAGAGTATAATTCGAAGAAGTTTACATGTAATACATCATAAATTCTTACAATGAAACCCTTCATTAATTCATAAGACTTATTTTGGACAATTATGCCTCATTCAAACCACTTATCCTTTTAAAAGTGCTATAGCTTTACTAGTCTTGTTTGAACAGGATATGTTTGGCACAAGAGTTGTAATTATTATTTAAACCTTTTCAACTTATTCAAAACCCGAAAACTCTAATCTTTGTTGGGGCTCCAGGCTCTAGGAGAAAAAAGGGGAGGGGCTGGAGACGCATCGGTTTGATTGGTGTAGATCTTGGAAGAATTATTTATAAGCAGAAGCCATAAACTGTAAGATTTCAATGAGCTGAAAAAGCCTTAATATATTGGCGAAGACATCGGAGTTCTACCTCTTGTCAATAAAGAGTATTATCAAGCCTATTCACCTTTCACAGATAATGTTGACCTTCCTCGCAGTTATTCTTGTAAATAAATGACTTCTTATCCACCTCAGGCCGAATTCTACGTCGATGCTGCCCTTGTATTTATAAATGTCTCTACAGCAGACACAACGAATATCTGTTCTGTAAATTCATCTTCGGAATCGTTTTCGGAACAGGACTTGGTGCAGGTACGTTGAATGTTTATTTTCTATCTGTAATTGTTAAAGGCAATTCCTTCTTATAAACAAATTGAATACAAAATAGAAATTTTGTTTTAAATATAGAGGAAGAAGACAAATTTAAACTCTTCGAAAGCACGATGCTTGTGATGGGATGGCCAGAACAATACAATATATATATATTTTTCCTCCATGTATGCGAATGTCTCTTTAATATGAATATTTTGAAAAAGTTTAAGGAGGGGTAGGGGGAGGGGAGAGGTAGGGGTGGTACGGTGGAAGGGATGATGAGGGGGAGAGGGTGGTAGAGGGGTGAGAAAATGAGAGAAATTGAGAAGGGAGAGAGGAAAGGAAAAGACAATGAAATTGAATGGTTGCGATAGGGGGTTGAACAAAAAGGGTGGTGGGGATGGGGTGCAGAGGGGAGAGACATTGAAAGAGCGTGTTAAAGGATGAAGGATAGCAGATATCGGAGAGCGAGAGAATGAGAGGACGGGAGTCGGAGATCAAAAGAATAGGCGAGAAGGGAGAGAAGGACAAAATAGAGTAACATAGACTAAGCAAGATAGATATAATTGAATTTAAATTTCAGACTATGTATGTATCTGGAGATATCTTGGTCTGGGCCCCGTCTTACAAAGAGTTGATATTGATCCGAATCAATATCAAGTCCCTAAATTAATCACAAGTTTGCAGTCTCACATCTCTTATGTACATAGTTGCGATTGATATCAATTACAAATAAGTTGCGATTGATATCAACTCTTTGTAATACAGGGCCCTGGTTGATGAGTCACTGGACTTTGAAGCTCAGTAAACCAAGTTCTAATTTCTTCCACGGCACTAATGTCCTTTCGCAATACGATCATCTACACTTACCTTTCTCCACCGAGGTGAAGTTAATGGGTTTCTGG